AAAAAAACCCAAAAAATCCCAAACCCCCCCAAAAAAAAACCCAAAAAATCCCAAACCCCCCCAAAAAATAAAGAAAAAACCCAGAAAAAACCCCTAAAAAAACCCCTAAACCCCCCCAAAAATTCCCCAAATATTCCCAAAATGCCCCAAATCCCCAAAATATTCCCCAAAATTCCCAAATCCCCCCAAAATTCCGATTTTTACCCTCGGAGCTGAGCTGTTCGTACTCGTCCGACACCATGTGCCCGCACAGGGGGAATTCATCAACTTTGGCTTTTTTCCTTCCCAAATCGAAAATTCGGATTTTTGGGTCTGGGGGCGACAAAGTTTGGGGTCAGGGAGGGATTTTTTGGGGGGATTTCAGTGAAATTTGGGTTTTTTTGGGGGGATTTCAGTGAAATTTGGTGATTTTTGGGGGGATTTCAGTGAAATTTGGGGTTTTTTGGGGGGATTTCAGTGAAATTTGGGATTTTTTGGGGGGATTTCAGTGAAATTTGGGGTTTTTTGGGGGGATTTCAGTGAAATTTGGTGATTTTTGGGGGGATTTCAGTGAAATTTGGGTTTTTTTGGGGGGATTTCAGTGAAATTTGGGGGTTTTTGGGGGGATTTCAGTGAAATTTGGGTTTTTTTGGGGGGATTTCAGTGAAATTTGGGGATTTCAGTGAAATTTGGGGTTTTTTTGGGGGGATTTCAGTGAAATTTGGGTTTTTTTGGGGGGATTTCAGTGAAATTTGGGGTTTTTTGGGGGGATTTCAGTGAAATTTGGGGTTTTTTGGGGGGATTTCAGTGAAATTTGGGGTTTTTTGGGGGGATTTCAGTGAAATTTGGGATTTTTTGGGGGGATTTCAGTGAAATTTGGGGTTTTTTGGGGGCACTCACCAGGGACCCCCCGGCAGAATCGAGATTTGGGGTAGGGTTTGTTCTTGCAGTAGCGATAACTTAAAAAAAATGTGGAAAAAACCAAAAAAAAGGTCAAAGACCCCTCCCCAAAATCCCCCGGAGCTCAAAATTCATCCCTAAAAATCCCCCCGACCCAAATAATCCCGGCTGGAGCCCCCAGACCCTTTTAAACCCCCCCAGACCCTTTTAAACCCCCCCAAAATCTCATTTTTATCCAGACCTTGGAGCCTTTTGGAACCCCCCAAACCTTTCTGGAATCCCCTGAAGCCCCCAGACCCAATTTAATCTCAAAATCCCTTTTTTAAACCTCTCCAAAACTTTTTTAAAGCCCCCAGACCCATTTTTAACACCCCGAGACCCATTTTTAATGCTCCCAGACCCTTTTTTAACACCCCAGATCCATTTTTAATGCTCCCAGACCCTTTTTTAACACCCCCAGACCCTTTTTTAACACCCCCAGACCCATTTTTAACGCTCCCAGACCCACTTTACCCCGATTATTCCCTATTTAACCCCTCCCTGACGCCCCCAGACCCCTCCCAAATTCCCTTTTCTGACCCCCGACCCTTCCGAAACCCCAGTGACGTCACAGCGGCCGCAACACGTCACGTTTTCCCGCCGCCTTATGACGTCACGCGCCTCACCATCGCGCCGGCCGGCGACCCATGGCGGCTCCGGGCCTTGG